CAGCAGAACCATTAGACCCATGAGCTCCAAAGCTGCTTATTTGGCTAATAAAACTGGGTGTGCACTGTCATTTTTGAACCACCACATATATGTAAAAGGGAGCAGATTTTAGAAAACACTCCTCCTCTCATGCACACTCAGGAGGGAGTCACTGGCAGTAGTAACCATCCAGGTTTGAAAATCTTTTTTAGTCATTGACGTGAGCAAGTGAGTATAGGTAGCAAATACAAAAGGACTCTGTCTTTTTGCAGATTTTTTGTATAGGTGGAATAAGCCTTATTCAGCTACAGATATCAAGATAAATCCAAAGTGACAGACACTAAGTCTGCTGTAATTCATCATCATCCACTAGGAAATGAAATTTGTCTTAATTATCTCTCACAGATAGAAGAACTTTCATTTAATGAAGAGCCGAATGTAAGTTATAAAGGTTAGTGTTGGTGGGGTCATCTTTCATGGATCACTCCTATGGGTCTGCTACCCTAGTAGCTGTTCCAGCAGCCTGACTCCATCAGCTCTCTTCAGACATTGTTCTAGCATTGTAGATAGTTGGCTGCTGGACCACAGGTTGGGAGTTCAGCTCCTTAATAGGAGCTGGACAAGATGATCCATAGGGTCCCTTCCAATTGTGTAGTTCAAAGATGATTACAATGATGAAATGTGGAAGGCTTAAATCATGGTGGGTGATGAGGATGCACACATACAGTGATTAAGACACACTTTCTTGTGTTCAGCGCAAAGTTCTTCAGAGTCCCATGTGAAAGCATTCAGCTGAAGGTTCTTACAGCATTTCGGTTACTGAGAACAAAGCCTCATTATAGTTCTTGATTACATGAACTTGGCAAGTGTGTCATGAAATGTGCTACCAAGTGGCTTTGGAGGGATTACATTGAACATGAGAAGGTCTGACTTACTTCTGAGCGAGCAGGGGATAATGGGGAGAAGGTTACATGCATATTCCCACCATCCATTTAGCTCTTCATGTTTTCAGGCAGAACACCTGAATACAATAGTTATGATCGTAGGCACCTGAAGCAGCAAAAATGAAAGCAATAAGCAAGTTACTATTTTTGAACAATGCTGGCTGAGGGATGAACCTTTTTGAACTCCAATTGACTGTGATGGCTGAGTGATGCTGGGAATTCGTAAAATCCAAAAGAGTAATTTCCTCAAGCTGCATCTACTGTACATGGTTGAATGTTAAAAGTGCTGGAGTTTGAGATTACAGGATGGATGAGGATCAGTTCAGATGACACTAGGCCTACCAAAGCTGTGCTGAATCCAGTCTTATCCCAACCTATGGACATTAGAAATTAGGACTGTCCTCACCTTGGCACAATTTTGTGCTGGCCTGATGACTGGCATGTTTGTGGGCTGGAGGAGCTTTGGAGCTGGCATACCTCTCTCGTTCACCTCTTCCTCCCTCCCAGCAACAGATGTTAACCTCCAGAATAGTTCTGTTGCTGATTTCTCTGCCAGTAATTCCCTGAGATCAGCCAGTAGAAGGGGATTCTGCCAACACAAGAGCATTTCTACCAGAAGAAGGAGATTATGGTTGGCTGGAGTAGCTTTTGCTTCTACCATTCCCCCTCCCTGCATCGTCTTTGAGTTAGAATTGCACATAAAATCTCAGCTCAAGCATAGTGATCATGGAGTGATCTTTGACCAATCTTTCAGCTTAATTGCCTTTCAAAACATATGGTTAGTGATCTATGTATGCCAACCATGTATGCCTCTTGGGGGCAAAGCGTGAGATAAAAATACAATACAGTAAATGTTGGTTGGCTCATTGGACACAGTCTGGAAAGAGTTCAGCTTTACAGGCTTCTGCGGTTTAGCCCGCAACGCCACCACGTCCCTTCTTGGGGGCAAAGAGTGAGATAAAAATAAAATACAGTAAATGTTGGTTGACTCATTGGACACAGTCTGGAAAGCGTTCAGCTTCAGATTGAATTATTCAAGCTTTGAACTCAGTAGAGTCAACTTTTGAGAAAACACACCTATGATTGCACAGGAAGTTTTACAGATTTTGAAATCAGTGGTGCTTAAGTACTCATCTATATACATTAATTAGGGTGTGCAAGCAGTCACTTGTCCTTTCCTGTGTAGCAATTCCTTCTAGGCAACTACAAGTGACCCCCATTCCCTTATATCAAAACATTGACATGGCTTTAGGCAGGCTAGTAAAAACAACAGCAAAATATTATTATTAATAACATTTATAGATTAATTTTGTCAATTTCAGTGATAATGGAGGTGTGAAGAAACCTTTCTCATGTCTTTATAATTGAGACAATGCTGACCTGGTGAGACAGCCTACAGGGGATTTTCTAACCACCATGAGAGTTCTCACCCCCAGTCTGAGACTCAGAATGAGAGAAGCAACACAATTCTTTGTTGTGGTGTACACAATTTGCATAAAATGTGGCTGATGAAATGTGCCTTTCTTAAACTAACTAGTCATGCACTGCAAGCACAAAGGAGGAGGCTGATTATTGACAAAGATGGCGACAATCAAAATAATGTCTCAGTTTTCAGTTTTGCACAAGTGTGCAGAAAATCATTCTCAATGTTGTGCAAATTGTGTTGGAGATCAAGTATAGAAAAACCACCCTCTCACTATGAGGAGAAACATACATTCCATTTCCCATTTAGACATGAGGATGGACTAGTTCATGAGTTATATCCCAAAGGGGAAATTGTCTGCACATAAATTTCTTTGGATTACACCAATCCTGCTGGAGCCACCAACAAATCCATCATGGGTAGTCTGACAAAGGAGGGCCAGAGTGGGGGAATTCATTCACTTGGGTCATGACAACTTGTGTTTTAGTTTCTGTACTTTAAAGGTTTTTGCACATAACACTTCTGTTTTCTGTGGTGAATCAGAAAAAGCTTGATTTTTTGGAACAGAAAGAGCATCTTCTGTTCACAACTGCAATGTGGGTTTAACTGCTCATCTTGATCATGTGTCATTTATATGGGTGGTATATTGCACATTTTGGCAGTAATGTACATCACAAATACCTCAGACAACTCTCACTCTTTGCCGTAACTCAGCATGAAGCTGAAGTCAAAAGCGATAATTTATCATCTCTCGCCCTCCTTTTCATCCAAGTTCTGTGTATCTCAGAAGGATTTGGACCAAATTATTCTTTGATAACTTGAGTGTATCTACAAAAGTAAAGGCTGAGTAATTACTCTGGGCTGGCACTGGAGCAGACAGAATGGAATTTGAACACTTAATGAGGGAAGTCACATGGCACTTGTAAGTTTTTCAAGTGATTAAAATGTATGTAACAGCACAGTGGAAAAGGAAGTCAAAACCTAACAGAGAGCTTCCATGAAGAAAATGATGCACCAACATGGAGAAATCTTTTTGAACGGCCTCTACTAGGTGAATGCCACATTTAGAACAGGGGAAAGGAACTTGCAGGTCCTAGTTCTTAATTTGATCCACAAAGTGCTCATAGAAACCCTTCCCCTTGGCTACACCCCATGGGGGAGAGGACATCTAGCTGCTGGTCTTTTCAGCTAGGAAATCCAGATGCTAACATTGGTTTGAAAAGGCTTGCTGATTGGTATTTTCCTGCTTGTGTGAGAGACATTATATTAAACTGTCCACTCTTAGAGATGAAAAGTCTAGTTTCATATTTCTACTATTGAATTCTAGACTGCAAGAAGGAAATTCAGATTCATGTGCTCATACACTCTGAGGTGTTTATTACTTACACTTAGCAGGATTTTGTGAAATACAAGAATGTATTGCATCTAGAGGGACGTGGTGGTGCTGCGGGCTAAACTGCAGAAGCCTGTGCTGCAGGGTCAGAAGACCAAGCAGTCGTAAGATCGAATCCATGCAACAGAGTGAGTGCCCGTCGCTTGTCCCAGCTCCCGCCAACCTAGCGGTGCGAAAGCATGCAAATGCAAGTAGATAAATAGGGACCACCTTGGCGGGAAGGTAACAGCGTTCCGTGTCTAAGTCACACTGGCCATGTGACCACGGAAGATTGTCTTCAGACAAAAACGCTGGCTGTATGGCTTGGAAATGGGGATGAGCACCGCCCCCTAGAGTCGAACACGACTGGACAAAAACTGTTAAGGGGAACCTTTACCTTATTGCATCTATACATACATATTTCATCAAAATCTGAAGATTTGCCAGCTTCAGGGACAAAAATAAAAGCTCCTTTGTGTTTGAGTGGTTTGTTTTATCTAACAGCTCAGCTACTAGATTCCGTCCTTGCCCTTTTGTTTAACTTGCAAGAGTGTGTATATTTTCGTGGGAGGAAGAAAACCGAACACACTGAAACTTACTTTTTAGTAACCAAGAATAGGATTGCATACTTTGTGAAAGAATCCGAGATGTCAAGGAAGGGAAATGAAACAAAGGAAGAGTACAGAGAAGTAACAAATAATTAGAAGGCAAAACCTGAGGATGAGCTGAGGTTAGCAAGATATACTAAAAGCAGCAACAAATGGAGTCAACTTACAGGGAGCCAAATTTTGACCAAACATCTGGAAAACTTCTTAACTGTTAGAGCAGTAGGACAGTGTAAACAATTACCTCAGGAGCTGGTGAGTACTCCAACACTGGAGGCATTCAAGAGAAAATTGGACAGCCATCTGTCTGATCTGTGTTGATTTGCAACCCTGCACTGAGCAAGAGGTTGGACCCGATGGTCTTATAGGCCTCCTCCAACTCCATTATTCTATGGTTCTATCAAAAATATGCAAGGTCAATTCTTCTGGCATGTTTTATTTTATTCTCCTAAATGGTTTTAATATGAAATAAAACATTGCTGTGTATGATAATACATAAAGCTAATGTTTCTCCCTTAGAATTTTCCCTGATCTTTGCTTGATCCTGTAATACCTTAAATTGAATTGATATGTGTTAAGCTTTCCTTTAGGTGATTTCGAATGTGTGTTAAATATATATGTTTCAGAAAGCTAAAGGGATATTCTTTATTTTCTTCTCCCCTTTTTCTCCTCTCCAGGTGATTCTCATTCTTACAAAGCTGCATGACTTCAACTTGGGAAGTGTTACTGAAAGCTCGCTCTGGAGGTAAGCAGATTATATATCCCACAGTACCTTTTGATCAGACATTTTGGTGTGCTGTGAGAAATGCGGATGTGGATGTGGAAGGATGACAGAAAAGGAAAGAAAAATTGTAATCTTTGCCACAGGGACATTGGCCCACATCCTCTTTTTTCAGCTATGTTGCACAAGACTGATGATGTCATCATCATCAGTGATTTTTCAGAATTCTTTTAAAAAATCCTATCCCTCCCTCAAAGGTCCTAAGGTCCTGAGGGTCACATGGAATCTCTTTTATTCTGGTGAATTTATGGAAATTAAAGATGGCTCCCAAGAGTTTCCCCATGAGGAAAGGAATTTCATGAGAGCCTCAGGATCTACTGGGGAAGGAGATTATAATTTTTTTTATTTCTGAAAAACTTCTGCAGCCTTATTTCATTGGCATGAACAGGATTTCTGCTACTACCTCTTTACCAGGATTAAACTAGGACATTTTGCTGCATGACACAAAAGGCAAATTGGTGCTCTTCTTTTTCCCCATATCAAAGCTATCTGGATTGGCACTTGCATCCTACTTCATCACTGGCTGTGGATAATGTCCTCCATTGTGTGATGTACCTGAGGGTAGCAGACTAGTTTATAGGAAGTGTGGTTGGTTTTATGGCACAAACAACTCTCTCTTCCAACAGAGGGTGATGATTTGGAGGCTTAGGAAGAATAGCTGAGGAGGATGACACTCTTGCTCCCAGAATCTGATCCTAAAGGTATCTTATTCTAGAGGTGTCTTATTCTGCCTAGTGTCTTGGCTGGACCTACAGATAGCATTTTAATATAGGTAGGGGAGTTTTTTATTGCAGCGATACTGATAGAATCTCAGAGCTCTTAATATTTTTTAAGCACAGTGAAGGTACACTTCCCTTTGACTTCTCTACTTAAATAAAAAGAACTGTTTTACAAATATGTCTGCAAATTGTGGTTCTAGACGAAAGTCAGCTTCAAAGACAATAATGTTGGGAAGAGTTGAAAGCAGCAGGAAAAGAGGCCGAAGAAGAGATGGATTGACTCCATATAGAGGAGTTTGAGAGACCTGAGCATGGCTGTTCATGACAGAACCTTCTGATGGTCACTAATTCCTAAACTTGCCATACGTCTGAAACAACTTATGAAACACAGCACTATCTGAGCACCCAAATGATGAGGAATGGAAGACTGAATAAACAGCTCCCATGTCCTGGATGTGGCCTTCAGGACATAGTTTTCTGATCCCTGTTCTGAGAGGCATCATCGCAGCCACTGTGTGTGTACATAGTTTTCTGTTCTATAACCTAGAAAAAGGAATTAATGACACATGATTTTTCTCATTATTTCTCTCCTACCAGAGGCTGGATGTCATGGTTATATGGGATTATAAATATTCATTAGCTGTGAAGGTTAAGAAATATGATCCCTCAATCCAGGTACCAAAGGGTGTGCGCAAAAGTGTGTTTTTAGAGCCATGACATCTGGGGAATTCCAGATTTCTGATTTTGGATTTTGTAGTCCAAAATTATATATCTACACACTTCTGTGGGATACCTAAAAATAAGAGGCTGAAAATTAATCAGTGCATGGATGAATGAATTAAGGTGCCTTTTCTCTTTATATGTACCCCACCTTCTCTCAATTCTTTCTTCACATTTTTCTTGCTTAACTGTTATCTGGAAACTCGCTTTTAGAAACTCTTTTTGGAGCATAACCAGGGAGAAAACAGCATTGCAGATAGAACACGTTAATGCATTAGGGGTTAATTGTTCCTAAGAGCTCTTGAAACTTTTCGATTTGCATGGTAACTCTAAAGCCTAATTGCACTGTACCATGGTAATCCGCAGAGGTATAAATAACCCTGAGACTAATAGGAGGGAGTGCAGTCATTTCCACTTATTGCCGACTTTTCAGGGTATTTAAGCCTGGAATGAAACTTTTTCCCCCTTGTACCTAACAAGTGCAAATGACACAGTGATTTTAGTTTAGACGTAATTGCTGCACAATCTGGATCTGCATAAATAATATAACAAGCCAACTGAATTCCTTTACTAAGGCTGAAGGATGATGGCAGTGCTTTAGCTGGGTAAAAATGGGGGGAGAGGGGATGACATAAATATTAAACTTGGGGCCTTTCAGAGAAATAGAAAACACTGTACTGAAGAGATGTGCCACAAAGTTACATCCAACTTTTTGATTTTGTAGCATAGTTAGAAAGGTAAATAAGATACTTAAGGAGTACCTTCTCTCCCCCCCGCCCCCGACTTGTGAGCTTCTTTGGCTAAGCAAGGATTTTTGGCTAAAGCAAAGAGTTTCTTAGGCCAAGCAAGGATTCAGATCTGGGTCTCCTGCTTTCTAGTCCATAACTCTACCCACTACACCACACTGTGTATCACACAAAAATAGTAGATACCAAATATATATGTAGTATAATTAAAAGCGTACATTTATGTTTCTATGATTACCTCAGCATGTCCCATGAGGTTACTGACATGAAGGTAAAGTATGAGTAGCAATGCCTGGAAACCGGACTACCCCCAAACATTTTGCTGCCTGACAAAGAGCAGCAAATGGTTTCCCTCACACAAGCCAAGGTGCACAGTGCTCCAAGCCAACCAAGCTGTTGTGTCACAGGAAGGATCAAAATCTCAGAAGCACCCTTTGACTTCTCTGAGAGTTTAAAAAAAAAAACCTAAATCCAGTTGTTGTTCTCAGCTGGAGTAGACCCACTGACAGAAATAATGTTTCATAGTCATAAATGATGATTTCAACAACTCTGGATATTGATCTTTAATTTAAAGGATCCTACAGTCCAGCCCACCTCATTATTTGTGGCTCACTAGGCCTCCCTTTTGACCCGGGGAAGCATTTGTGAACCTTGGGTTGGGAGGAGGCACCTTTAATATCCAAAAATTGTTGCTGCCATTTCTGCCACTGGGATTGGGACTACTAGCGATGACTTGGGATATTAAGGGATTCCCCCTCAACCCAAGGCTCCCAAAGGTTTTCCCAGATTGAAAGGGATACTTTGGCAACCTCAGAACCTGGGCGGAGTGTGGAGTGGGAAACTTTAACATCCATTTGTGACTATGGAGTTGTCCGCCAGAATTTCAGTCATTGAATCAGTGGTGCTTACATACATGCCGACTTATCACAGTCCTGTTGGTTAAATGAGGCTACTTTAGATGAAACTAACAATAGGATTTAAGCTCCATAGAGGATGGCAACTTGAAGACATCCAGGACTACACATCTCCCAATGGGTTTTAGATATCTGCAGTGTCCTGATGCCTCAGTTCTTTTTTTTAACTGGAAGAACAACAGCAGAGGGTTGGGGAGGGGACAAATTCCTAAGGTTATTAGGAGATTAATGGTTTAGATATCTGGCTGTGGAGCCAGAAGTTGGGAGTTTGATTCCCCACTGTACGTCTTGGGAGAAGAGACGACCATGTGTGGTCTTGGGCTGCACAGGCTTGTTTTATGCAGTTGGTTTTCAAAGTAAGTGATAAAGAAATCATTCCCAAATGGGGAGGGGCATAAAAAAAATGGCTACCCATTTTCTGATAAAATTGCCCGCACACATCCTAGAGAGTGCACGAGGTTTAAATTCAAACAAATTAGGGTGAGATGATTCAGTGGATTTGCTTGGGATTTGCATCCTCCCTCCTAGATTTCATGTTCTGCCCATTCCTGGTCTAAAATAAATAACTAGCTGCATGCTGCTCTTTTATAACACACAAATACGTATGCTAGTTAGGCCAATAACCTCATTCTTCCTAAATGTCAGCCTTGCCTCCAAACTGTAGATGTTCTGAATAGTTCTGTCATAATGAAAACTGGGATAAGGCAGATTTTTCTCATTTGCAGATGCCAGACCATACTAGTTTGGGGGGGGGGGTTGTCAAACAAACCAAGGTTGTACTAGAGAACACTCCAGTTTTGCAGATAAGTATGGACTGAACTGCAGTTTACTACTACAGTGGGGTATATGTGTGTGACATATTAGAGCAGTAGGCCAATTCATGCAACATTTTCCTAGCAAAGAATGCAGAGAGAAAATGAGACATAAAAGCTGGGTTGTCCATGGATGGTGCTGCCACTGTTACTCATAGTTACATATACCAGAGCAGGGTATCAGTAGTTTGGTGAGTGAAGAATCCACTTCACAGCAGGCACTTTTCATGCACATAAATACCTAAAAATGTCTAGTGTGCATTGTGTGTTAACAACACTAGCTGCATAAATTAGTCCAATGTCTGATCATCTTGCAGAATGAAGGATGCAGCCAGTCCAGCTGTATAATAAATGTAATGCCCCTTTGCCTTGTCATGGCAAAGAGGCTTGAGTAATTCAGAGAAGCTATGATCTATGTCATGCAGGGACACTCAAGATGGACAGGTCAGAGTGGAGAGTTCTGACTAAACGTGATCCACCTGGAGCAGGAACTGGCAAGCGACTCCAGTATCTTCGCCAAGAAAACTCCATGGACAGAAACAAAAGGCTAAAAGATATGACGCTGGAAGATGAACCCTTCAGGTAGGAAGGTGTCCAATATGCTACTGAGAAAGAGTGAAGGACAAGTACAAGTAGCTCCAGAGCCAACGAAGTGGTCGGGCTAAAGCCGAAAGGACGCTCAGGTGCAGACGCACCTGGAAGTGAAAGGAAAGTCTGATGCTGCAAAGAAAAACACTGCATAGGAACCTGGACTGTAAGATCTATGAACCTTGGTAAGCTGGATGTGGTCAAACAGGAGATGGCAAGAATAAACATTGACATCCTGGG